GGACAATATGTCCCACCCCCTCCAGGACACCCTGTCCTCACTGTGCAGCTCCTTCAGCGACAGGCTGCTGCACCCCAGCTGTCACACGTTTACATTATATATTTTTTTATATCATAACTTAGTACTTTTTTCTTAACATAGGTAACATTAAGCTGTCTGTGGCTCTTTCCTGCTGTAACGATGCACATTTCCCCTCTGTGGGACTAATAAAGGTATTCTGATTCCGATTCTGACTCTGTTTCCTGCGTCTCCTAGTCGTACACTTAACCAGAACAAAGTCCAATTTACTACACCTTGAAGAAGTTCTCGTAACGCTAACCCCTCGATTCCACCGGGTCCGTCTGCGTCGCAGTTTTGGTCCGGCCTCCTCCGGCGTCATACCCCACCGGGCACGTTTCAGAAGCATTTCAGAAGCGGAGCGTCTTGCCTGACGGCTCGCAGTTTTTGTTGATTTGGGCATGTTTCCTGGACAGACTACTTTGTACAGACAAAGTTAATAATAATTGTAATATCCCAGTTATAAACGACATGAATCAAAGATGTGTTGCTGTATTTTAGTGGTAAAAAAAATGCATTCATAATCATTCTGTATATATGATTTACACTCTGCCTGTCAACCGGAGGAGAACGCTGGCATTTCTCCTCCTACTTGAAAGACTACGGAGGGATAGGGTCTGCAAATTAGTTTGTGTGTGTGTGTATATGCTCTGAACGTTCCACTTCCTGCCTGCCCGACATTACCTTACGGCTGCGTCGCGTCAAAAAATAGACTTCAATCCTATTTCGAGCGGAGCCCAGCGGCGAGACGCTTCTGGGCCGTAACGCGGCGCGTCTGGTGGAATAGCACCGATTGACTCGAGTGGCCGCGATCCTTGCGGACGCCGCGGCCGTAACGCGACGCAGACGGACCCGGTGGAATCTAGGGGTAAGAGTCAGGTGTAAATAGTCACAGGTATTATGTCGGCTTTGACAAAAGGGAAGCAGAAAGTTGGCTATAAATATGTAAAATACCGTATTCATTTAAGTATTGTGGAGCTGCAGAGATTTCAACCCTATAAATCATATTCTATAGAATAAGCAACACATGTTTGTTTGATACAGATGCTCTTAAAGAGGCCCTATTATGCTTTTGTTTGTGTTTTCCCTTCCCTGACGGTAGACAGAGGAGGCACAACATACATGAACCTGAAAATGAGCATAATAAGGGCTCCTGTATTATATTCTATTACGATAATGAGAGTTATGATTCAATCATATCGCAGTGGAAAAATCCTTCAAAGATATTCACAACTAATTATTTTTTACAAATCTTGCAGTTCTATTCAGTTCTGAAAAGGGATGTTTTTTATTGTGGGACAAATTAATATCTAGTAGCTCTTCAATTCGGGAACACTAGCAATATCAAAGTGCCCTTGAGAGGATTGTACCTCCCTAAGTTAGACATTTCAAACTAATGACAAACATTTGCACTGTCTATTGCATTTAAAATCTCAAGCTATAAAATGTTAAGATGATATATTTGATATTCCTCCGTTTGCAATGCAAATAAAAACAGAAGATGTTTAATACAACTTTTTTAAAGCTGTTCACTCACACACTCACACACCTGTATTTGTGTGTGTTGTATATTTCTACATGTAATCTACATACATCAGGCTGTAAACAGGGAATATCTAATGTCCCTCTCTCTCCTCTCACAGGGCAGCGATGCGGATAAGAGTGATGATAATTTGGTGGTGGATGAGGTTAGTATCCGGCCGCCGGCCTTTATCCGCCTCACCTCAACGCTTTCATCTGCATACATCATGTAAACACACCTAACAGGAATATCTGAATGATATAAATAATAATAATAATGATGATCCCCCTCCCTCCCTTCTTCTCCTCTACCCCTGCCCTTATTATTTCACAATATGAACAACTATAAAGTACATACACACTCTTTGCACTTCCTACATGTTTAGGTACACTCATGTATGTATGACTGAATGCAGACAAGACGCATAGCACATTTTATAATACAAAGATGGAAATCATAGTTTTTTTGTACTTCAAATGATTATGTTTGACTCCCAAATGAATATGTAAGAGTCCATTTTGAATGAGATGACAGTAACTGAGAATAGGCACAGTTCCCGAAAGCTTTTCTATTGAAGTGTTGGGTGGGTCTCGTCCGGAAAAGGTCTTCTGGTGCCAGGGATTTATCCTCCCTTCTTTTAAAAACAACAAGATGGCATAAGCAGTGAAAGGATAGGTTCACTGTTTTTTTAGTCTGTTTTTAAAACAAGCTTCTGTTGCCCATATAACACTAAAGCTGAAATGTTCTCGCTGTAATCCTTTTCTTTTAACATTCGTCAATAATGTGCTTCCAAAGGGATGGAGGACAATATCTACAGCCCTTGTTCTCTGCGTTTACAGAAAGCTACTATTACTACTACTGTTTCCACAGAAACAGAAAAACATAAAAACATAAATGTCGTTCTAAAAAGACAGCCACTTATTTACATTTGACGTAGACTACTGAAGCTGAAAATCAATTATACCTGTGATAAACATAGGAATACTTTTTGGTGAAGTGACATTTGAATACATTAGGAGGTGATTTTGCATGTTCAGTATGAACAGGAGTCATTAACACAAGATTCAGTTTCATTTGTGCAAGTCTGACTTGGAAACATTTTGCACATCTGAGAAAAGTCTCCATGGTTATCCGAGATAAGAAATGAGTTGCCACATGAGAATAGAAAGAGACACAGATTGATTTCCATGCGACCCTCTCTGTTCCCAGTACTGGAACACCGACTGAATGAACCGCCATTGCTTCTTGTTCCTGTCCTGTTTAATGAAGTCTTGTGTGTTTTTGAATCCAGGACCCCTCGTCCCCCCGCAGTGTGCAGTCCTACTCGTCCAGGGAGAACGGCCTGGACAAGATGCCCCCGTCCCGTAAAGAAGCCCCCCCCCAGGCCAGCCCGGCCTCCCTGGCCTCCTCCAGCAGCGCACCCTCCCCGTCCCGCGGCAAAGAGCCCCCACAGGTACACCCCCACAGCACAGACATAGAAAGTGCCACCAATGAGGAATTCAAGTTACTCTTAATGAAGTCCTTTTTTCCGTCTATGTTTAATAACCCTCTTTAATCTCTCCTGTCCCAGAGGGAGAAGTCCAGCACTCCAGGTATGAAGCCGGGGACCCCCATGTCTCAAGAGTCCAACACCCCGGGGCCCAGCGGACCCCCACAGTTCAGACCTGTCCCCGGCAAGCCTGGTGTCGACCCCCTCGGTAAGATCCTCCACTTATATGGCTCTTATTCCCCCAACATCTTCCCTGCCTAATTGATAAATCAGGCATTGAACTTCACAACCCTAAAGTTAGTTTGAGGTTAAAATATGAATCTTGCCGACATCACTGGAAACTCAGGAGACTAAAAGGCAAACCTCTCCACCCAGCATCAATTAGAAATATGAATGTACCTCTGCAGAATTCTTATCCTCTGTTTCAGTGACTGTATGAGCAGCAGTAGTTGGTATGAGTGTCAGCCAGCCCCCCCCCACACACACACACACACACACACACACACACACACAACCATCTCTATCCGTATCCTTCCTACGTACTCTGCCTTGAACATACTGA